CACACACACACACACTCTCACACACACAAAAAAAACAAACAAACAACAACAACAACAAAAACCCAAAAAAACCGGGGGGGGGGATATAACCACCACAATTTTTTTTTTGAAGTTCTTACAACAAGAAAATGGAGGGAACACACCTGGGTGGGAGGGGGGAGAGGGAGGAGGGAGGGAGTTTTCGGTGATGGGACACGATAATCAACTACATTGTATATTGACAAAATAAAAATAATAATAAAAAAAAAACAGAAACTGTGGTACAAGGGTTGAAGTTAGACTGCTATTAAATATACCCTGTTTTGTACATTTGACTTTAGGACAATTGTAAATATTTTACATAATTACAAAAGATAATGAAATTTTTAAAAATCTTTTCTTTTTATATTTTATTATATTTTATTTATTATTATTATTTTTTTTTCTTGTCCTTTTTGAGACCGGCCACACCGCACTCAGCCAGTGAGTGCACCGGCCATCCCTATATAGGATCCAAACCCGCGGCGGGAGCGCTGCTGCGCTTCCAGCGCCGCACTCTCCCGAGTGCTCCACGGGCTCGGCCCAAATCTTTTCTTTTTTAAAAAAGAAAGCAAAACAAAACAAAAACACTGAATATTGAGTTGGTAGAACAACCTCACAAAGAGAAACTATTTCAAGTAAATTTAAAGCACAATAACTTGACTGAAATCCCTAATGGAATAAATCCTACAGACCAAAACCAAAAACAACTGCAAAAAACTTAGATTTCTTTCAGTCATCATATTAATAATTATCAACATTGCTGGTATTATTATTTTTATACTGTTGTGTGGGTGTAGTTGTAAATGAATAATTAAGTATATTAATATGGCTGGGAATCAATGTCCTTTGAAACACAAAAGTTTTTAATTTTGATGAAGTCCACTTTATCTATTTTGTTTTCTTTTGTTGTAAGTGTTTTTGGTGTCATATCTAATAAATCAAGCCAAATCCAAAGTAATTAAGACTTATGTCTACATTTTCTTCTAAGGGTTTTATAGTTTTTACTCTTACATTGAGGTCTATAATCTATTTTGGGTCAATTTTTGTATATGGTGTGAGATAAGTGTCCAACCTCATTCTTTTGCATGTGATTATCCTATTGTCATGGCACTGTATGTTATAAAACTATTCTTTCCCCCCATTGAATGTTCTTGGTATACTAGTCAAAAATCAATTGACTATAGATATATAGATTTACTTCTGGATTCTCAATTCTATTCCATTAATCTATATGTCTATCTTTATGCTAGTACCACCCTGTTTTGATCACTTTGACTTTGTAGTAAATTTTGAAATTGGGAAATGTGAATCCTCCAACTTTCTTCTTCTTTTTAAAGATTGTTTTGGCTATACCGGGCCACTTGCATTTTTATATGAATTTCAGCAGCAGCTTCTCAATTACTGCCATCTTAACAATACTAAGTTTTCTAATCCACAAGCATGAGATATGCTTTCATTTATTTAGATCTTTAACTTCTTTCAATCATGTTGAATGTTTTGCACTTTTTTAAAAAAAACAAGCAAGCTGTTTTATTTTTATTGCAAAGAATTCTAACATAAATGCAGCATAACTGCTATAAAACTGCTAAATTTGCACAAAAGTCCCAATCCTTTCAGCAGTTCTAGGTTTAGAGTCAGGATTAACCTCACGCGCTTTCCCTGCATTAAACAAGTGAGTTCTGTACAACCTCTGGCCCCCAGTGGCATAATCTAAAAATTAGCTTTACAAGCTTACTTCAAAAAGTTCATGGAAATATTTATATTATCTTTCAATTCTATTTTTCCACAAACTTTTTGAAGTACTCCTGTATATTTAAAATTAGCTTTTTCTACTTTCCACACCACATTTAGGAACCTGCTGATAATTCAGTCCATTTTATAAAAATATAATAGTTCTGCTCAAAAATCCATTAACACCTATTCAAAGCAGACACAGAGACAGTGCCAAAGATTAGATTCATAAACTTAAGTTTGGAGATGTTCTGTTTCCCTTGAGTTGGAAGACACTTGGACCATATTAGATTTGAAAGCTTTATACTCCCTATCATCTAAGCAAATGAAGGGTAAAAGCCTTAAGACTAAAAAAGATTTATTTTCCTATTAAAAACAGGCAGTAAGGGCCGGCCCGGTGGCGCACTGGATAGTGCGCCGCTTGGGAAGCGCGGCGGCGCTCCCGCCCGAGGGTTCGGATCCCACATACAGACCGGTTCCCGCTCACTGGCTGAGCGAGGGGCGGGAGCAACACCGAGGGTTGCGATCCCGTTGCCGGTCCCCGGTCCGGTACGGGGGCAACGCTGAGGGTTGCGATCCGTTGCCGGATACGGAAAAAGACAAAAAGACAAAAAAAAAAAAAAACAGGCAGTAAGGGCCGGCCCGGTGGCGCACTGGATAGGGCGCCGCTTGGGAAGCGCGGCGGCGCTCCCGCCCGAGGGTTCGGATCCCACATACAGACCGGTTCCCGCTCACTGGCTGAGCGAGGGGCGGGAGCAACACCGAGGGTTGCGATCCCGTTGCCGGTCCCCGGTCCGGTACGGGGGCAACGCTGAGGGTTGCGATCCGTTGCCGGATACGGAAAAAGACAAAAAGACAAAAAAAAAAAAAAACAGGCAGTAAGGGCCGGCCCGGTGGCGCACTGGATAGGGCGCCGCTTGGGAAGCGCGGCGGCGCTCCCGCCCGAGGGTTCGGATCCCACATACAGACCGGTTCCCGCTCACTGGCTGAGCGAGGGGCGGGAGCAACACCGAGGGTTGCGATCCCGTTGCCGGTCCCCGGTCCGGTACGGGGGCAACGCTGAGGGTTGCGATCCGTTGCCGGATACGGAAAAAGACAAAAAGACAAAAAAAAAAAAAAAACAGGCAGTAAAATAAGATAGTTGTACACATTACAGTTGTCGCATGTTATCCCTGCTCCAAACACCTACAAATGCAGTAGTTTTTAAATGCCTGCTGACCCATGCCCAGGCCTCTGCAACAATCAGGTCTCTGGTGACTTGAAAAGCAGCAATGAGGGAACTCAGCTGAATCTCCTCATCGGTGTCAACAGAAAGATTGTACTCTGATGTCTATCATTTTGGTCAATAAATTATTTGAACTGAAAATGGAAAGTCAACTCTGTGCACAAACAAGTGTATCTCTGTCAGTTATCATCTAATGCCAACCCCTTCAGAGTTTTCAACTCCATGTTTCTGTAGGCTGTGGGAAATCTTCAACATCCAGTCCAGAATGTGGCAATGTCTGACTTGAACGAGTGCCCTGTGCAGGTGTAGACAGTCTCCTCTGTCACCTTCCCAAAGGCCATTTGGTGCTCGGCAAAATGTTTACAGCCCACTGGAAAAAGTTACAAGTGCTTTCATCCCTGTTGCTTAGCCCCCCACGGATTTGTCACCCCACTTCCCCTGTGTGACAGAGCCGCAAAGGATTACTCAAAGCCCAGAGGAAAGTGTAACACATCCCATTTTCACTTATATCAATTTTCTCTTCTACAACATGTTCCAGGTGGGGAACCATGAGTTCAGGAGTAAGGGGTTTAAATCAGGAACTCATACAGTGGGGTCACACGGTGGGGATGACTTTTGACAGTTACTGAAAAGGAAAAACCTGGTATTTTCAGTGAATTTCTCAATCACTCTCTTCAAAGTATTCTAGGCATCTTGAGTAATAGCATCAGACTCATCGAAGATTACTAGTTTAAAGCCTTTTTAAATATTGTCCTTGTGCTGGCAAAACTCAGGACTGGTCTCTAAATGATATATATTCCTCAGTTCTCTAATGCATTCAGCTTCAAGATCATAGAGCTTAATTCTTTTTCTTTGTAGAGCTGTTTAGCACAGCCTAGCATGGTCAATGTGTTTCCTGTCCCTGGAAGACCACAGAGAAGCAGGTGTGGCAGTTAGCCTTCAGTGACATATTTCTGAATGGTTCTCAAAATGTCCTGGTGACAAATAAGATCATTCAGTGTCTGTGGCCAGTATTTTTCAAACCTGGTCAGGTTCCTGATCTTGGCCGTGTGGGTGGCATTGGCTGCTGCTGCTTGAGCACCGAGGTCTCCATGGTGGGGAGACAAAGGTAACTGCTGAGGTATACATGTCCTTTAGGCACCTGCACAAATGACCAACCACAGCAATCTCATTTTGCTAAATTTTTTCCTAAGCATTTCATTCTTTTTTTTTCCCCTTATATAAAGATGACTGGTAAGGGGATCTTAACCCTTGACTTGGTTTGTCAGCACCACGCTCTCCCAAGTGAGCTAATCAGCTATCCCTATATAGGGATCCAAACCCGTAGCCTTGGTGTTATCAGCACCACACTCTCCCAGGTGAGACACGGGCCGGCCCTAGTATTTTACTCTTTTTGAAGCTATTTTAGTTGAAATTATTTTCTTAATTTCATTTTTGGATTTTTCATTGCTATTGTATAGAAATACAAATGATTTTGGTATACTGACCTTGTATCCTGCAACCTTTCTGAACTCGTTTATTACTTCTAATAGTTTTTTTAAGCGGACTCTTTAGGATTTTCTATATATAAAATCATGTCATTTGCAAAGAGAGATAGCTTTACTTTTTCCTTTCCAATTGAATGCCTTTTAATTTTTTTCTTGCCTCACAGCCCTACCTAGAGACTCCAGTACAATGCTGAATAAAAGTGGCAAGAGCAGACATACTTGTCATTTCCTGCTATTAGAGGGAAAGCAACCAGTCTTTTATCACTAGGTATGAGGTTTGCCATGGCTGTTTCATAGAAGTTCTCTATTAGGTTGAGGGAGTTTCCTTGTATTTCTAGCTTAACAAGGGTTTTTATCATAAAACAGTATTGGATTTTGTCAAATGCTTTTTGTGCATCTATTGAGATACATAATCAGGGTTTTTGTTTTTTATTCAATTAATGTGGTGTATTACATTTGTTAATTTTCTAATGTTAAACCAATCTTGTATTCCTGGAATAAATACTCCTTGGTCATGCTATATAATTCTTGATATATATTTCTGGATTTGGTTTGCTAATATTTTGCTGAGGATTTTTCTATCTATAGTCATAGAAAAGATTGGCCTATAGTTTTCTCTTCTTGTGATGTCTTTGTCCAGTTTTGGAATCAGGGTTATACAATAATGGCTTCATAGAATAAGTTGATAAGTGTTTCCCTTCTTTTCTATTTTTTAGAAGAGTTGGTAAAGAATTGGAATAAATTCTTTGGTAGAATTCGCTCGTGAAGCCATCTGGGCTTGGCCTTTGTGGACAGTTTTTTAAAATTACTAATTCAATCTCTTTACTTGTTATAGGTCTATTCAGATTATCTATTTCTTCTTGAAACAGTTTTGGTAGTTTATATCTTTCTAGTAATTTTTCCACTTCATCTAAGTTATCTAATTTATTGGCACCGATTACTCATAGTATTCCATTATGATCCTTTTGAAAGGTCAGTAATAATGTCCCCTCTTTCATTTCTGATTCTAGTGTTTGAGTTTTCTCTCTTTTTTTCTGAGTCAACTTAGCTAAAAGTTTATCAGTTTTGTTTATCTTCTCAAAGAACTGTCTTTTAAATGCACTGATTTCTCTATTGTTTCTCTGTGCTCTATTTCAGTAATTTCTACTCTGATTTTACTATTTCCTCCCTTCTGCTTGCTTTAGGTTTAATTTTCTCTTTTTTTCCCCCAGTGTCTTAGGGTGGAATATTCAAGATATTTCTTCTTTTTTAATATAGGCATTTACCACTCTAAATTTCCTTCTAAAGTACTTTAGCTGAATCTCATCAATTTTGGCAGGTTATATCTCCATTCTCATTCACTTCAAATTTTTATTTCCCTTTTGACAACTTCTTTAATCACTCATTATTTAGGAATGTGTTATTTCATTTCCACATACAGTCATCCTTTGGTATCTGTGGGGGATTGGTTCCAGGACCTACCACAGATAGCAAAATCTGGAAATGCTCAATTCCCTTATATAACATGGCAGTGTTTGCATATAACCTATACACATTCTCCCAAACACTTTAAATTATCTCTAAATTACTTATAATACTTAATACAATGCCTACACATCACGTCATTTGTGTGGATTCAACATAGTACTTGGTCCAGCAAATTCAAGTTTTGTTTTTGGAACTTTGTGGAATTCTTTTTGTCTGAGTATTTTCAGTCCACAGTTAGTTGAATCCCACGGATATGGAGGGCTGACTGTATTTGTGAGTTTCCCAAAGTTTTTCCTTCTATTGATTTCTAATTTCATTACATTATGGTTGGAGAGCATACTTTGTATTATTTCTATCCTTTTAAATCTATTAAGGTTTGTTTTATGGCCTAGCAAATGGTCTATCCTGCAGAATGTTCTATGTGCACTTGAGAAGAATGTATATAGCAGTACCCCCTTATTTGCAAAGGATACATTCCAAGACCCAAAGTGGATGTTTGAAACCTCACATAGTACAAAAGCCTATATTATGTTTTTTCCTTTGCAGACATACCTATGATAAAGCTTATTTTATAAATTAGGCACAGTAAGAGATTAAGAAAAACTAATAATAAAATAGAACAATCGTAACAATATGCTATAATAAAAGTTACGTGAATGTGGTCTCTCCCTCTGTCTCTGTGTCTCAAAATAGCTTTCTGTACTGTACTCACCTATTTTTTTTTTTTTTTTGGTCCTTTTCGAGACCGGCCGCACCACGCTCAGCCAGTGAGCACACCGGCCATCCCTATATAGGATCCGAACCCGCCGCGGGAGCGCTGCACAATTTTTTTAGAACTTCTTTAAGCTTGAGCTTCTCCACACTCTGCTGGAAATGAAGTCAGTTCCTTTGGGAAAAGAATAGGGGCTGCCCATTTTACAGCCTGCTTCTGCCTCCAGATAAAACATCTGAACCACTCTCTACAGCTGGGGTGGGGACACTAATGCATTTCTCTGAGTGGCAGTTCTGCTTCAAGAGCGGAGCACCCAGGGGAAGGGAAGTCTGTAGACTCAGGTCTTCTTGGCTTGACAAGCTAGGATAAGGGTGATTGGAGCACCAGTATTCTCAGCAGCATGCTGCACAAGGTGGTCTCCATCCTAGAACTTAGCCCCAGGAACAGATAGCTCGGGCAAAATGAGAAATGCTGATGCACTTCCCTCCTGGGATGAAAACCTTCTAACTTGGGGGTGGGGGTGGGGATAGATGGGGGGATGTAAGGAGCCCTGTGTTCTTGGATGCACCACTCTGGAGTGAGTTTCTGTGATGCTGAGCTGGGAGAAGGAAGGAATGGAACAGGTCTTGGTTCAAATATCACAGACTTTCACTGTTCTTGCTGGGTTTTAATAGATTTTCTTGAATAAATGTTTTTTCATTTGCTGTATTCCCTAGGACCATTTCCAGAAACTTTAATTGGTTGTTTTTTAAAAATAATGTTCACCAGTTTCACTGGGGACTGGGTCCACAGACACCTCATGCTATCATGCCAGATCTGGAACCTGGTGTTACCTTGAACTTATTTTATGTATTATTGTTAGATTATGCAAATATTTGTCATTATTTTAATATTGTTAGAAATGGAGATTTTCTGAATAAAAGTAATAAATACAAAGAAGTAAAAAAAAAAATCCTATAATGTTAAGTTTGAGTTCATGTAAGTATGAACTCATTTAAAAATACTTATTTTATAATTCTGTCCATTGAAAAGGTCTAGAAGCAATGACAACACAATAACAATTAATACGCCAGGCATCCAACTGTAACTCTGTACCAGTTGTTAAGCTATTGTCCCTCAGCTTCAAACACAGCTTTCTATACCTGGCTCTGTGATGCAAGACTGGAAGTCTGCAAACACTTCTCCTTTGCCAGCTTTCTCATTTTTGGGTTCTGCCAACACAGGACACTAGGCTAGAGGAGGGAAAAATGGACTTGCTCCTTCCCGTTTGCTTGCTGTTTTTGTTAGCAACGCTATTCAACCTGGAAGCACCAGTCAATAACAATCTCCAGCTTCTTGTTTTTTTCAGAATGCCCTCAGAACTACCAGTACCAGCAAGGCAGCACCACCTCCTGGGTTCCAGCTCCATGAAGCCATTCTTCCAAGTTTCCAGGTTCTAATAACTCCAACCTCTTTCCTCTATTGCCTGTGCCTAGGAATTGTAGCCACTTCCTGCAGTTACTCTCTTCTGTGTTACTTCTGTTTTCTCTTTTTCCCTTTACAGAACTCCAGTAACTGTTTAACTAATTTCCTAAATCAAATTCTCTTTTAAAAAAACTAGGTGTGGTTGCTGTTTTCTTGCCTGGATCCTGACTTATACAGCTCCTAAATATAATTCTCCATTGGGAAACAAAAACAAAGAAACAATCAAGGTCTCTTAAAGGAATAGCTGATTATATGTTTTGGGACAGAATATACACAAAATGGCCTGGGACATCTCTATTGTATCAGAAATCAAGGAAGCTATCAAATATCAATGGATCATGTCCAAAGGAGTTAGAAGCCAAGAAGGGGCTCCCACTGGCATAATATGGGATCACTCAAACATCAGAAAGAATGAAGGCAACTGATTGAAACACATTCAATACACTGAATGTATATGTGTACGTATACATGTATATATAGTCACATACATACATATGTGTATAAGTTACAAAAATGAGTTTATAATGATACTTTTAAAAATGAGAAACAATTCCTTTTCTGTAATTTTAATGGGGTTTTGAGATGAAATTAAATCTTAAATTCTTATCCTAGAACATTTTTCTTTTTTTTAAGATAAATATATCTATATTTTGGTTGTGGTGGTAGTTACATAATTGTATGTATTTGTCAAAACTCACAGAACTGTACCCTAAAAAGGGGGACATTTACTATATGTAAATTACACCATAATTTTTCAAAATGAAAAAAATTATGTCCTTAATGAAGCACTAAAAGTCTTAATAAAAAGACTGCTTTCACCTCTTTTTTTGTTTGTTTTTTTCCTATTTTTGGACAAAATGAGACAAATCTAAAAACATCCCCAGTAACAATGAAGGTCTGTGGCTCACGGACCTCCTAACATAACACTAATTCTATGAAATGACATTTGGTTTCACAGTAAAC